GGGAAGGAGGCCTGTGGTCAGCTACAAATGCCAAGGACCTCCTCTTGTGCCTATGTCCAGGAGGAGTCCTGAGCTCTAGAACATGTTCTGTCATCAGAGACAGAGCTTGCAGGGGCCAGGCTGATGCAGCAGAGTTAGGGCCAACTTGATGCAGTGTGAAACCTGACATCACAGAGGATTGTCTGTGGGCAGTGACCTTCCTACTGGTCCTTCTGTCTGCTCAAGACTAAAACCCTGCCCATATCAGCAAGCTAGCAGAGCAGTAGCAGTCCTACTCCTGTGTTCAGGCCAGTGCAAACCCACTGCTGCTGCAGCTCTGGCATATGCAGCCCTCTGCAGCTTTCCTTTCAAAACTCCCTCTGTCTCCAGCCAACCCTGGCCCTGGGATAACTGCCCTGTGACCTGACCCTGATCTGTGCTGTTGCTGCTCTGTTTGCTGTGACTGCTGCCCTGCTCTGGCATGGTCTCATTTTCATCTCTCCCTTTCTCCTTCAGCCCCTCAGTTTGCAGTCCGGGGACGCCGCCCTCAGGTCCTCTCTGGTAACCTCTGTTTGTTGGCTGCACACGTGGGGTCTGTCTTGTTTGTGGTTGCAGGAAGGAGCTGTGCTCTGGGGGGTGCTGCAGGGAGCTGGGGCTGTAAGGTGGGCTTTGCTGGGGGCAGGGGGTGGGGTAGCAGCTCTGTTTTGGGAATGAGGCTGGAGAGCCTCAAACAACAAACTCTTGAGCAGCAGCAGGCTGCGTTCCTGTGGGATATTTAACTTTGCAGCAGTCTCTGTGGTTCTTGTTTTGTCTGCTCAGTCTGCTGGGCACACAGAGCTGCTGGGGAAGGGCTCCTTTTCAAGGACGCTAGAAGACCAGGGCAGTACGGACAGCCGGCAGGGCCAGTGGCAGCGGAGGCGCCGGCTGGATGGGGCCCTTAACCGTGTTCCTGTGGGCTTCTACCAGAAGGTCTGGAAGGTCCTGCAGAAGGTGAGTTAAACATGCATGTGAGCCTCTGGTCCCAGGCACCAGCCTTGCCAAGGGGACTTAGGCACTCAGGGCTGGTCCCTGATGTTGTGTAGATATATGCTTCAGAGACAAGGCCTACAGCTGACCTTGGAAAGCTGTAGAGGACATGCACTTGCCTTGTAGTCTTGTAGGGCATGCCTCAGCCTGTACCTTGCAGAGAGGAGCTGCTCAGGTGCTTTATGCATCAAGCAGACAAATGCATGGCTGGAGCCACAGCTGAAGGTGCTCTGGGCACAGCTGATCCTCAGCATGGTGAGCAGGGAGCAGAGCCCCATGCAGGGGGCTCTGGCTGATGCTGAACTGATGGAAAAGGAGTGATGCTATATGGGTTCAGGAGGCGGAGCTGGGGTGTATGGGCAACACACACCAGTGCTCAAGTGGGAGCAAGTTTGTGGGCTGGACCCATGTACCTTAGCATGATGCTTCTCCAAGCCATAACCGTGATCTCTCCTTCTTGTTCTGCAGTGCCATGGTCTCTCTGTGGAGGGCTTTGTTCTTCCCTCCTCAACAACCAGAGAGGTAGGAGGTTCACGTGAATGGGGAATGGGACCCATGGGTTGTTGTGTGCTGGTTACCCTGGGTGATTGCCCAGCATGGCTCAGGAATTGAGCAGGTGATACAGTGCTTTAGGTACACTTCTTTCTTCCTCCTCACAGATGACCCCAGGGGAAATGAAGTTTGCTGTGCATGTGGAATCTGTCCTCAACCGTGTGCCCCAGCCAGAGTACAGGCAGCTGCTGGTGGAAGCTATCTTAGTGCTCACCATGCTGGTGGACATGGAAGTGCACACCATTGGTGGCATCATAGCTGTGGAAAAGATCTTGCACATAGCCAATGACCTCTTCTATGAGGAGCAGGTAGGGGTCAGCCCTCACCCAGGGCTGCTGGCTACATTCCCCATACCTGTGCAGGGCTCACCCACTTGGGGAGCCCTGCCTGTTGTGTTCATGGGGCACAGCAAAGCTGTAGTGTCTTCCTCCCACTCCTCATCATCAGTGTGTCACTCTGAGTGCAACAGAGAATGCTTGGGATGGAAGCTGATAATGGGATTGCCTTTTTTCCTAATGATGTCTTTCTGCTTCCCTGTCCAAAATCCAGAAAGCCCTGGGCGCTGATGAGCACATGCTGGAGAGGGATCCTTCAACAGGCATCTGCAGCCTGCTGTATGACAGTGCACCGAGCGGCCGGTTTGGCACCATGACCTACCTGTCCAAGTCGGTGGCGTTGTACGTGTACGACTTTCTGCCCACAGATGGCTGCTCCATGCAGTAGCTCTTGCAGTTCCTCACTGGGTTGCAGGTGCTCTGGCGTGGTTGTTTCATACAGCTTGTAAAGATGAACACTAGGTTAGTTCGCAAGGCAGTCTGTGTGGCCATCTCTCCTCCCAGCCCTGGCCTCTTGGTGGGGGAGCAGCCCTCTGAGGAACTCCGCAGGAGGCATGTGTCCTAAACTGACCTGTGCCTGTGTGGCCTGTGGAGCAAGGGAAAGGCTGAGCTTTGAAGCGTGCTTGTGTTAGAAGGTTCTGTCTCCATGACTCCTGATTCATCACCCCTGGAAAAATGTCTGAGGGAGTTGGAAAGGGTTCCCCCGACCAGACCTGTGTGCTCAGCATTACAATGCTCTCTGACCAGCTCACACTCTCCCTGCCTCCAGCAGGTTTACAGTTTTTAACCTCTTCTGTGCTGCTTATTACTCCAAATCTGCAGGATTTATGCTAGTGCAGGCTGAGGTTCTTGCTTTTCCTGCTGCTGATGGAAAAGTTTTGCTAGAGGAATGGGGTACGGTGCCTGAGCCTTTCTCCCAGCACATCCAAAATCAATATGGTCCAGCCCAGCCACAGCTGTGCTGCTTGGAAGCAGGCAGCCCATCATCCCCTGCTGGGTATCCTGTGTGCAGAGCTGGGGAGGTTATGTTAGGCAGGATCCCTTTTATCTCTAAGCTGCTAGTACAGGGCTTCTGGCTGGCTGGGACATGCCAGTGGCAGCCCCTTTGTGTCATCTACTCTATCCCTGGCAGTGGTGCTAGTGGCCAAGAGACAGGTTCCTGAGTTCTCATGCCCTGTGAAGCAGCTCTGAGCTGGCTACTTGATGTTACCTGTGCAATCAAAACCATGCTTTTAATGCTCATCTCTGACTTCTGCTCAATTTCCCACAGCCTGGCACTGAGAAGGATGGGGACTTAGCAGATCCCTGCTCTAATCTACCATGCAGGTCAGCCCCCACTCAGGATGGGACTGATGAGGATCAGGCACATATGGAACAAAGTGGTGGAGGAAGAGGGGTTCCCTTTTGGCTCCCTGGTTCACTTCCCTAAGACTTTAGGTGTGCTCCAGTACACTCAGCACGTTGGGCAACAGGCCAAGAACCCTCACTTGCACCCTCTGACCTTGCAATGTCCCACAGCTTGTCACAGGCCAGCCCGATATAATCTATGTTCCCCTCCAAGACTGGTTTACAGCAGTCCAGGAGCAAAGCTCTGAGCAAAGATCCTCTTTCCCTTTGGGAAAGGTTGATCCCATCTAACAGCAGCAGTCTTGTTAAAAAAAAGTATTAAAAAATCTGAAATTGTGGCAGTGACATCAGCCACCAAGCCGTATATTCAGCAGACTGAGTCCATCTCTTTCAATGTCCCTGACCACAACTGTAAGGACAGAGGAAAGAAGCTGTCTTCCAGAATCCCTTACCAACCATCCCCAGGCCCTGAAGTCTCCTGTGATTGCCCTTGGACTGTGTGTTGCAGTTTCATTGCCACCCACATGGAAAAGCAGCAGTGGATAACAGTCTGAAGCTGAACCTGGCTGGGAAGTGTCCTAGTGCTGTGCTTAACCTGGGCCCCAGGGAGGCAGCAGACTTCACTAAGAGGTCTGTCTGTGTGGTACATTGGACCCTCAGAAAGGAATCACCTACAGCTGTAACCCATCTTTCTTGTAGAGGTGGACATGGTCTGGGGGTGTCACAGCCATGGCAACACCTCTGGTTTAGGTGGACTAACATCCACATCATCCCTTGCCTGGCCTTCCACGTGAGAGCTTCATACCTGCTGCACAGAGGCATGTGGGAAAGCATGGTGGGCAAGGAGGGGTTTGCCTCCACCCACTCCTTTTACTGGCTTCCCTTGGCAAGGGAGGATACAGGATCCCCTGTGTATTCTGGGGAGGCTGTTCCTGTCAGGCAGGGCAGAGCCTGGTTCTATGAGTCTTTCTCAGACTCCCTTATGCCCCTTAATCTTTCAACATCCTCTCATAGCTGAGCCCTGAGGGTGGGCAGATCTTGGTCACACCAAACACAGCTGTTCTCTGCCATGCTTCCCAGTGAAAGGCTCTGGCAGTCCCTGCACGCAGAGGCCTGGATGGCTGTGTGTTTTTATGGGAGCTCTGTCTGAGGAGCCACATCTACTCTAGGAAGCACAGAAGATGTGGTTTCTGCCAGATAGATGTCACAGTCTGAGCTCCTTCTGAGAGGGTGATGGACAGCAGCTGAACTTGTCTCTTGAGCTGGCAGGGTGACAGTGCCCATGCCATGTGCCAACACCACCCTCAGCCCATGTAGCCTGTGGTGCACCCAGGGCTGGCTCTGTGTGAGCGCAGGGGTGGCTGCCGGGCAGAAGTCGGCCATTCCTCTGTGGATAGGCTGGCTCCAAAGCCAGATGCTTTCCTCTGTGCGTGCCTGTGTTTTTTGATGTCCAGGTTGGTTTAGCCTCAAAGCCAGGTGGTCTCTTGGGGCAGCAGCTCTTCTGTACACGTGGCTTCATGGAAGATCGTGCTATGAAAAGCCAGTGTCCATAAAGGAGACTGAGAAGTCCTGCAACTTTATTCAAATAAAGGGAGAGAGTCCGCTGGGACATCAGCCTGTGGGATGTTCTCTCTGTAGTTTCAGAAAGTGCAGCGTCCTTTTATCCTAAACTCCCGGCCACATGTTGCCTCTTCCTTAGCCCATTGGCTGAGATACTGGGAAGGTACAGCCTTCCCAAACGGTCTACCAGGTATTCTCCCCTTGAGCCTGTCATTTTCTCCCAAAGTTCAGAAACTCAGGCTTGTGTGGGCCCATTTGTCTGTTTCAGGAATCAAACTGTCTCGGTTTTGTAACCTGTGGCTTGAAGTGGGTAGAAACATTAAGATCCATTTCTAGGACGTTAACACCCATACCCTCACCCTTAGAATTGTTTGTAAAGACATTAGCACACATCTTTCCTACCATAGCTAATCCCTCCCTTTGTGATCCCTGCTCCCGTCAGGGGAGCCTTAAGGGAACCGAGCCCCTGGGACCCGGTGGGAGCTGCCGGGTGTCGGGGGAACCGGGCACCTGCTGAGCTGCGGCTCTTTGAACTGGGCGGGCGCCGCGTGGGGGGCTGCGTGCAGGCCACGGGCCTTTTTAAATTACATTCTTGGAGAATAAACACCACCCGAGCTGCGTGGGGGCCCGAGTAAAAATGCCTCTTAGCACCAGGTGGCTGCCTGTTCTTACGGGGCCGAGCTAGGGGAAGGACAATGGCGGGGTGGGCCTACAGCTCCCGGCACGCCGCGGGGCCGGAACTGCCGGTCCTGGCGTGCCCTGACTAGCGGCGGTGCGGGTGCTGGTCGCGGCTGTGCCAGCTCCGATGGCGGCGGTGCCGCCGCCGGTCTACGTATACAGCCCGGAGTACGTGACCCTCTGCGACTCCCTCTGCAAAGTGCCCAAGCGGGTCAGCGCCGCGGCGGGGGCGAGGGGGCGCGGGGAGCACAGCGGTGAGGCCCGGGCGCGGAGGCAGCCGGCGCCCGGCACGGCGGTAGGAAAGGAGGAAGCGGGGGAAACGGGCGGCCCCGGCGAGAGGAGTTAGGGTTAGAGCGGGAACGGCTTGTCTGTGCGTTCACATCGCCCCTGGCACCGCGGGCTCGGACACCGATGTGACGCTCCCCTCTCCCGGGAAGCCGTGCGCGGCTCTGCTTCTGCCCGGGACACCGGAAGGCCCTTTGGCACGGCATGGGCACGGGCCGGAGAAGGGATCCGGGCCGGGAAAGTCGCTGCTGGGAGCAGTCTGAGCCACACCTCGTCTGCGAGTCCTTGTGCCCCTGGCTGCTGGCTTTGTGTCTCCTGGTCTCACAGTCTTACTCTTTTCTTTAGGCCAGCATGGTGCATTCACTGATTGAAGCGTATTCCTTGCTTGGCCAGATGAAGTAAGTGCTCTCGTTTTCTGTGAAGGAATGTTTTAGTCTCCACTAAGGGTTGGAAGGTGCTGAGTAACTTCAGGTTTCATACTGTCCCTGCTGGTGGTGTGATTACAGGAGCCCCCACAGTGCGTATTTCCAGGATTAAAGGAAAATGTTTGTTTTGCTACATGGACACGATTGCAGTAATTGTGGCAGGTGTAATTCATGGTTACTCTCCTGGTCTGGTGGAGCGCTTATAGCCTTGTGCCTTCTCTACAGAGTGTGTATCACCCCCATGCTTGAGACTCTGAGTAGGGTAACAGCCTTGCTGCTGCTCCAGATCCACTGATCAGTCAGTGCTGATGCAGAGAGGGGCTATGTTGTTTTGGTGCATTGTAATATATCTGGGAGACTTTTTGTGAGGTCTGTATGCTGTTCAGGAGAGTACCGCCTGCCTCACTCGGCTCTTGACGCTGGGGCATGTGAAGGGAAAAATAAGAAAGGCATGGCTCAGCTCCTCTTGTGAAGCATCTCATCTTAGAAAAAATGTACTCCAGTTCAGCACAGCCAGAAGATTTTTTTGAGACTTCTTTTTTAAACTTTTTTTTTTTTTTTTTCTGGTAGAGTGTGCTTGGGAAATGACTGCAGGTATCATTATAGGGCAGACCTGAAGAACAGTTTGCCCTTAAATGTGGTGGGAAGCATCAGGGCCAGCCTGGAGCTGGGAGCTTCCTGTGTTCTTCCTGTAGCAGCAGAGCTGTGCTGCATTGCCTGTGCATGCTCCACTGTCCAAGTTTTGGGGAGGAGTCCAGTGTGTTGCAGGATTTGTTTAGGCATACTGCAAAGCACCCAGACCCAGGAAGGTGCTGTGCAAGTTGCTTGGAACAGTGACAGTCTCTGCTTTGGCGCAGGTCGTAGCATGCAAGAAGCATTACATGGCTCCTGATCTAGACTGAGGTCCTGCCACAGCATTTACACAGCATTTAGTTCCTCTGTGTGTAACCTGAATGTTGGATACGGTGGAGAATGCACAAACAGAGAGAACAAGCAGAACAGGGGAAAAAAACTTGAAGCAAAGTGGGAAGGTTAATGCAGGCAGCACCTGCAGGTGTTCTTCACTGGGGTGGGCACCACAGGTAGTGCCAAACCAGGGGCAAGGCCTGTTCCCGCTCAGCTGGGTGGCTTTCTAACTTGAGTGACAGTCCAGTGCAAGAGGAAGAGGGAGTTTTGTTTGCTTTTACAACAGTAATAGCCAAAAGAAAGCTCTTAATGTGAAGGTTAAAGCTGGACATTCCAGCTGAACACTGGATCCTCTTGCCCTGATGTGCTCCCTTCCTCCTCTCTGCTTAGGATAGTCAAGCCAAAAGTGGCGTCCATGGAGGAAATGGCGAGTTTCCACACAGATGCTTACCTGCAGCACCTGCAGAAGGTCAGTGAGGAGGGGGATGATGACCACCCGGAGTCTGTGGAGTATGGACTGGGTAAGGATGCACATCTTCAGCAAGAGATTAGTTGAGTGCCAGGGCCAGGATGCTTTTTGCTGGAGCTGCAGTTAGGGGGGTGAGCTCAGGGGGATGCTGGGCTTAGTTTTGAAAGGAAACACTCTTTAACGGGGTGTTGCTGAACCCCAGCAGTCATCTGACAGGCTGGCACTTTCCCTGGTGCCAGCTGAGGGTAGAGCTAGCCTCACTTTGCTGCTCTGTGTAGCTTGGCCTGTCTCTTGCCGACTGGGGCTGGTGCCCTTTGCTGCTGCTCTGAGGCTCTGGAATGGGATGGAAGACCCTGACACTGCCCTCGGGCTGGAGCTGGGACTGGCTGCTGCGAGCCTGCTGTGGGGAGGGCATGTGTGAACAGTGGTCTGGTGCTGTAGTGACCAGAGCAGCTGCAGAGCAGTCTGGTGACTTACATGTGGAGCAGAGGGCACTTGCCCTCCTGGACCTAAGACAGCTTGAGAAATGCAGCAGGTAAAGCAGGTGAGATGGCTGTGGGCACTGTCTTGGTATCAGGAATGGGAAGAGTGACCCAGAACTGAGGCAGAGGTGCAGATTCTGTGCCACTCTCATGAGTGTGCCTTAGACTTAGACTGCTCTGTCTACAGGAAGACAAGCAGCCCTGGTGTCACGCTTTGTGGGCAACAGCTGCGGGGAGGCTGCTGTACGACTAAGTGAAGATCGTATTACAGACATAGACATACAGCTTGTCTAGGCTTGGCTAGTTTGTGGATGTCCATTTTTAGGGAAGAGGTACATCAGTAACCATGTCAGGGCTTTTCTGGTCAGGTAGACAGAGACTTGAAAGTAGTTTTTTTGCGAGATTGGTGTGAGGAATCAGTAGGTTCAGCAGCCCAGGCACACAACTCAGAAGTTGATTCGGGACACATTTTTAAATGAACAAAGTGCAAGAAAACATTTGGATTGTTGCTTTTTGTGGTGGGTTGATTTTTGTGGTGTGGGTGGGGTTTTTTGCTAGGTGCTCACCAAGATAGTCTCTCTTCCCCTCAGTAGGGTGGGGGAGAAAACATAGTGGAAAAGATCGTGTTGAGATAATAACAGGGAGATGAGTCTCCAGTTACTGTCACCAGCAAACGAGACTCTACATGGGGAAATTAATTCAATTTATTGCCAATTAATAATGGAGTAGGATAGTGAGAATTCAAAATAAAACTGAAATCACCACCCCCCTCGTCCACCTTTCTTCCCAGACTCAGCTTCACTCACAGCTCTTCTACTTTCCCCCTCAAGCAGTGTAAAGGGACAAGGAATGGAGGTTGTGGTCAGTTCACACCTCTCTGCTGTTCTTTCCTCCTCACTCTTGCTAAGTGTATATGTGGGGTCCCTCCTGCAGGACACTCTCTTCCATGAAGTTTTCCAGTGCTAGTCTTTCCTTTCAAGAACTTCTCCAGTATGGGTCCTCCATGGGATCAGTTCTTCAGGAACGGGCTGCTCCAGCCCGGGCCAGTCTTGAAGACTCAAACAAAAGGAATGTGCTTCCTCTGGAGGAAAAGGCCTGTTGTGTCTAAGGTGCAGACTCTTACGTGGACTCTTACCTGCAGGTTACGACTGTCCAGCCACTGAAGGGATCTTTGAGTATGCAGCGGCTGTGGGAGGAGCCACCATCACTGCAGCTCAGTGCCTGCTGGATGGCAAGTGCAAAGTAGCAATTAACTGGCCTGGAGGGTGGCATCATGCAAAGAAGTAAGAAAACAATGTCTTCCCTTGTGTTTTCTCATCTGATGTCTGAACCCTGCTTCCTAGCTCCCAGCTTCCCTGAGAACCCTCAGGGTGCAATGATCTAGTTGGAAGAGAATGCAAGGTGTGAAGGAAGGCAGGAGATAAAGAGGAAGGAAACAGAGGGCAGGGCAGAGGCCTGAGAGGAGGCAGGTCACTGCCCAGTGCTGGTGCTGTCACTGTCATGTGCTGCAGAGCAGGTCTGGGGCAGGTGTACTCACACAACATCTCAGCCTGTTTCCTGGTGGGCACTTGGCTGAAAATGGCTTCAGCTGCAGCTTGCTGTGAAAGGAGACTTGCACTCAGCAGAGCTGAGCTCTCACTCTGTGCAGAACTGATGGCTTTTGGGAAATCTTCTGTTATATTCTGTCTGGATTGTATGGTTTAAAAAATGCCTGTAATGAAAAAAGTCTTAGCAGTGTTGCTGCTGCTGAGCTATTAGCACTGTTCTGGGAAGCGAAGAGTTTGTTTAAAAAATAGGCATTTAATAGCCACCAATCCCAAAGGAGTCTTCCCAGTCACCCCAGTAAGTTGGTGTGTGATGCTTCAGGGTAGATGCCAGCCCACTGTGAAGGTCCTGCCAGGCTGACTCCAAACTGCAGGTGCTTGATTCTAGGACCTGTGTCCTAGCAAAATACATTCCTTTTGTCAAAAAACACCTGCTTCCTGGTAGTTTAGTTGCTTTCCAGGGTCCTAAAGGTAGGAATGACCTGGGGCTTTGGAAGCTCTTGGTTGAGAGGATGCCTTTGGGGTTGAGGGTAAGTTGCTGAGTAAGTGCCTTTTCTCAAGGCAGTCTCACCCTCCTTTCTGGCAGTGATACTCAGAGCTTTGCTGGGTGGATTTGGGGCAGCATGGGGGAATCCCAAGTGCTGGTCTTGAACTGCAGCTCTGACACTGCTCTGCCTTTGGCTGAACTGGTGTCCTGCTCTGCTTGGCCTTGAGTTTCAGAGATTGGTATTACAGCATTCAGAGAGTGCCCAAGACATGCTTCCTTGTGGGCTATGAGGGAGGGGAGAAGTACATAATCACAGTTGAGTCAGATTTTCAGGATACCTGTTAACACCTCTATTTTCAGCTTTACTGTAAATGAACAGAGTCACTGGGAAACACCTGTGCTCCATGGCACTTGCAGAGTGTGAGAGCGAGTGAGGTTCTGCCATTCCTGGCTTGCTCCTCACTGTTCCCAGCTGTTGCTGAGCAGGAAATGTCAGAGAGAATGAGCTGGGTGCTGTGACTGGAAGTCAAGAGGAATTTCCCAGAGGTGCATCTTGTATCCCGATATAATTTGTGGAAGAGGGATTTGGGTACTCCTGTTGCCGTGTATGAAGCCTCGCTTTAAAATAGCTATCCAGGGCAGATGTAATGCGTGTGGACTGGTGCTAAGTGGTGATGGGGACTTGACTTTGGAGTGAGGCTGGAGTAGGGGTCAAGAAACTTTCTTGTTCCTTTGATGCCAGCAAATAAGCTGTCCCTGATGAATGTCAGTGATAAATCTTTACATGGTACACCTGTCCTCTCTTTAGCTGCTGGGACTCTCTCCTGGCTGAGCCCAGGAGCTGTATCATGAGGGACTGCATGTGGGACATCCCATTTGCATTTTCCTGGGAAGGGAAAGGAGGGAGTTACTTTGGCAAGAGGCTTAACCTTCATAGCCTGAGACTTTAAAACAGCAGGACAATCCTGTGACTGGCTTGGGCCTGCCTTTCACTGCCAGGACCTTCCCAGGAGTTGTGACCCAGACAGCAGGGATGGAGTGGCTGCCTGTCTATGCCTGTCCAGAACTCACAGGAAAATGGCCGAGGGGACTGTCCTCTTGCCTCCAAGAGAGTGGGTTTGAGTCAAGTGGCTCTGAACGTCTTTAAAATGTCTCAGGTGCAGAAAGCTAACATTTTATTTGTTCAACAGCGCAATGGTCAGAGATACCCTCCTCAGACCAGGGTCTCTTTGCAGCAGAGCCGACTGATGCTTACCCAGCTGCCAGAAAGCCCAGAGTTGAGAAGCAGTTGGCACAAGCAGTCCTGTTCTCTGTGCTTCCCAGCCATGCTTTGAGCTGTTCCTGACCCGTCTCTTGGTCACTGCTGGGCTGAGTTTTCATACTCCTCTGTGCCCCTGTGAGGTGGACACTTGCAAAGTCAAAATGAGAATGCTGAAATCGGTGGTGATTGCATTGGCAATATTCAATGTCACAGACATTGTTTTCACAGGGATGAAGCTTCTGGTTTCTGTTATGTGAATGACGCTGTTTTGGGGATCCTGCGACTACGCCAGAAATTTGACCGCGTCCTTTATATCGATTTGGATTTGCATCATGGGGATGGTAAGGCCCAGCAAAGGCTGCAAACAGCACAGCTGCACAGACTCAGGGGGGAATGGGAGAAGGCAAGGCCTGTCTGCACAGCAGGGATTTACTTGCTGCAACAGCCGTGGCTTCAGCTCTTTTTGGTGCAGTTGAGTTCCCTCAATCCATTTATGCCTTGTCCTGCTTTACAGACTTGCCCTATGCTGCTCCTCAGACTTCTCTTGTGGGTCTAGGCAGGAGTCTTGTACCTAAAGCAACAGATAATGTGTCCCAGTCTCCCATCCTGCCAGCGCAGTTGCTGACAGGGTTTAATTGTTTAAGGGTCCGTTGCAAGAGGGAAGCAGCCAGTAGTAAAGGGTGCTTTTAAAAGAAGGCTTTATTCTGTAAGTCTAGAGGCAGAGCTGGCCTTGCTAAAACTGCTCCCTCCTTCAGGGACATTATTTCTACACCATTTAACATTTCCTGCTCTTCTAAATTTTATTATATGTTTCATTTTGTTCTGTTTTCTCCCTGCATTTGGTTTCTGTTAAGTTTCCTATTACTTCTTTTTTCCCTCTCCATGCCCACTGTCTTAATAGTGTCTTTAAGGAAAAGGCATGTTGAACCACAGCAGCATTGAGGAAAAACGAGAAAGCCCAGTAGCATTGGTTCTGATCAGAGCCAAGCTCTGGCCAAGTGAGCCCTGCTCGGATCCCTCTCCCAGCTTCACAGGCCTAGCAGCACAGTCAAGTGCTGCTGCCATGGCTAGTGACATGAGATATTCAGATCCATTCTGAATTAGCATGAGACCTGCCAGATTCATAGCACTTGTGATCTTTGCTGCAGTTGAACTTCAGTCTCTGTAGACTGAGGATGTATTTATTGAGCCACATCTGCATTTCTGCTTTGCTTATGGTTCTCCTTCTCTGCTGCTCTGTGTGTATCAGGCAACTCTGTGTGTTCAGACTCTGTCATTTATATAAATGATGCATGAATTTTTCTTTTCAATTTCTTAATAGGAGTTGAGGATGCCTTTAGTTTCACCTCAAAAGTCTTGACTGTTTCTCTGCACAAATTTTCACCAGGATTTTTCCCAGGCAAGTTGAACTTGTGAGGTTTGTGCTCATTTGGTTCACATGTCACTCATGGTGAGGCCTCCATAAAGGCAAGTCACATCTGTGATGTCCAGCTGACATATCTTGCTGTCTCTTCTCATGACCCAGGGGAAGGAAAGAGGGAGAGCTACATGTTTGGCATTTCCCTCTCTCTGGTTGTAGCTGAGGTGTAGGCAGAGTTCCTTTGATGCCGCATGGCAGAATTGGGTGAAGGATAGAACTGGGTCACTCCACCCCACCTTTCTTCGTGGTGGCAAGTGGACTTCTTCATACGCATGCCAAACGTCCTGGCTCTCATCTTGCCTTTGAGACACCCCACGCGTCTCTTGCTGCTGCTCTGCTTTCCCTTCTAATTGGGGTGTTTCTGTTGTGCAGGCACTGGTGATGTGACAGATGTTGGCCTGGGAAAAGGTCGCTATTACAGTGTGAATGTGCCCATTCAAGATGGCATTCAGGATGAAAAATATTACCAGATCTGTGAATCGTAAGCCCTTTTGCTCTGATACAGCTGACTTGGATGGGATTTTAGAGAATAAGATACTATGCAGTTTAGTATTTTTAATTACAGTCCTTTCTTAAGGCTTGTCCCTTCCCCTCTTGCAGCCTTTGATTACAGTGAACATGGACTGTAAGTTCTCAGAGGTCTTGTGTGAATCCTTAGGCAAATTGAATATACAGAGACATTGTGGGTGGCTGGAGGGGTCTCTGCCGCAGGTCAGCCTGTCTCCTTAGATACACCTCCACAGGTGTCTATCTAAGGAGAGACTGAGAAGCAACAAGTATTTTTTAGCTGTGGGCTTTGGGCTAGATGTTTTTTACTTCAAGTAAATGCTCTGAATTCTGGCTGTGGGACATATTCTTGGGGCTTAGCTAAAAGCATTTTCCTAGCACCTTCTGTCTGTGCTGGAAGAATGAAAGGCTGAAGGCTGAATATCTGACAGAGCTGCCTCCTGGCACTCCCATGTGTCCCTCAGCTGATGGTGGATCTCACAAGCTGTTGCCCTTGTCAAAACTGGGCTGTGGGGCTTGTTCTTTTCCAGGGGGGAGGAGTCTCAGTGCAGGGCTGCAGGATGTAGTAGCACGTCCACCTCTAACACTTGAGGGCAGAAACCTCTCTAAACTTGTAGGCCAGTAGGGCAGTCATGCGGGGGCCATGCCTCCTGCTTACTTATTGGTGCTTGCCATTGCTGGGGTAGAGCAGCCCCCTTTGTGCTGGAGGACGTGCTTTCAAAAGGCAGCTCTAGGGTCAGGAACCCACTCAGGAGGAGCCTGCTGCATGCATTCGCAGCTGAAGGACGTCATAACCTACCTCAGATTTGAAGCTGTGTATAGCTAAAGCTTCTGCAAAGAGACTTAGAGATCTCTTTGAGTTCTGTCTTGGCTGGGAAGCAGTCCACAGGCATGACCGTGGATGTCTCATCCAGCTGTTTTTTGAGGGTAATTGCCTGTACTTCCCAAAACCACGATGGACTTGAAGCATGAGTCTCTGTCCAGTGCTGGTTTTTGCAGGCTGACTACACCCTGCACAGAGCTTTTCCTCATAGTTTTGCCTCAAGAGCCATACAGGAGAGAGGGAGAGTAAGACCCTAGCCAGTCTTCCTCTGTTTCTCCTGTCCTCTGCTGGCCTGTCCTGGTGAGAGGTGTCTGAGAGTTCAGGATTGTTGTTTTGCCAGACCCTGATCTCCACCGTGACTTTCACAGGGCAGAAAAGCACCTGGATCATCCTGCAGCCAAGAGGCAGACAGTGTAAATGTAGAGTTTGATGCTACCACTGAACTGGTGAGAACTAGATCCCCCTCTGCCATGTTATCAGTGGTGCTTTTGCATTCATCAGCCTTTTGATAAGTGCTCTGACAGCTAAAATTGCTGTGGAGGTAGAAGGCTCAGAGCAGAGCCTGGGAGCAGAGGCAGTGTAACTGGTAGGAGCTGGGTGGAAGCAGAGAATGCAGAAACCCTGAGAGGTATTGGTGGATCTGAGCGACCAGGGCCATGCCACCAGCATTCCTCTGGGCCATGCTGGCAGTAACTGGACTGCTGCTCTTCTCTCTAGAGTGCTGAAGGAGGTGTATGCTGCCTTCAACCCCGATGCAGTTGTGCTGCAGCTGGGGGCGGACACCATTGCTGGAGACCCCATGTGCTCTTTCAACATGACACCCGAGGGAGTGGGGAAGTGCCTCAAGTATGTCCTGCAGTGGCAGCTAGCAACTCTTGTCCTGGGAGGAGGTGAGTGCATCCTGCTGTTCTCAGAGAAATGTGTTTGTCCTCCTGTGACCCTGCCTCGAGTGCCTGTCTGCCCTTGGGCTCAGGACTGGCAAGGGTTTAGCAGAGTGACTGCTGGGCATTGTCAGAGGACGCACTGTGGCATAGTACTCTTTTCTCACACCTGAAATCCTTGATACTGACAGGTGCAAGTCTCAGTACTGACTCAGATCTTGAGTTAAAAGCTGCATGGCTCCTCTGGAGAAGATGAGAGGCCAACAAACTGACCCTGACTTCTCAGTGACACCTCTGATTCCCATCTCTGCTGATCAGCCCTTCAGTGCTTCTCTTTAAAAAGTGAGCACTATGTTCCCAAACCTACCTTGGGCACCTGGTGATGAATGGTTTCATTCAGATTCAAGCAGGGGCTTGGGACGAGGCCTGCCTGCAAGGTACAGCAGGACTCTGATATCCAGTGAAAGTTAAGCTGGACTTAGGTCTGTTGTGTTGCCTAACCAGCTGCTTGCCCAATGGGGAGAGCACAGGACAGGTTTTATGTTAACAGAGCATTTCAGAGCAACAAAAGCCCCTGTGGGCCAGGGAAAGCCCCTGAGCTCCATGACTGGAGCCGGATCAGCTCTAGGTGTTGTCCTTTTTTAGATGGGGGAAATAATGTCTAGGATATTAAGGCTAAAATTTGATGTGCCTGATGCCCTTTGTTCTGGAAAGGTTATGAGTGTTCAGTCCTGCTGTGGCTTGTCTGTGAGTGTGCTGGAGATGTCATCTTTCAAACAAAACCCAAAACTTCTGTTAAAAAATGAGGATCAACTATGTGTCACTTGTGAAAATAGCAAAGGAGTGTCCCACCACTGCAGCATGTGGAAGCATTTGAAGTCCAAATTGGGAGAGGAGTAAAAAAAAAGCAGGGGAAAAAACCCCACTGCAAACAGAAGGGAATATTGGAAAAATGTGGTCTGTCTTGTCAAAGTGCTTTTCTCCCTTTACTCTTCTAGTCATCTATTCTGGAAAAAAAAACATACCTGAGTCTCTTGCAGGATTGCTTTCAGCTAAGATTTCTCCTTATGGGCTCATGTTCCTTTACCATGTAGGTAACCATTTCCTGCTCACTGTGAAATCTCATTTCTGTGTAAAGCAGTTGCAAGTTGTAGCAATGAGTTTCATATTTGTCCTCTCAAAGATGACGGTGCTGAAGAGCTCACCAGCGTATGGCTGGGCATGTGTATTTTGCTTTATAGGTCAAAGACTGGTATTAAAAAGCAGGAAGCCCCATTTCTGCTGCAGCCTGCTACTTGAGAATGGCTCTTCTTGTTGCTGGGAGAGAGTTCAGCGCATGGGGCTGGGAGCTCATCCTGGGCCTGAGATGGTGGCTGGAGGACTGGCCTCTGCCACTGGGTGTAACTGGGGTTCAGTTTGAGTGGTCTGCTCTTGCATACACTGTCATTCAAACTTGGCTTTGTGTAGCCAGCAGGTGCAGAGGGCAGATTTTGGGCATGGCTTGAGTGGATGAAATAAGCTGAACTAGTGTAACCTGTGCACAGTGGTTTCATTATTTGTTTCTTCCACCTAAATATCTTTTTCTCTTTTGCCTTTCCCCACTCTTCCTCCTCAAATCCCAATTCTTGCTGGAAACAGGAGGTTACAACCTTGCCAACACTGCTCGCTGCTGGACATACTTGACTGGGGTCATCCTTGGGAGAACACTGTCCTCAGAGATCCCTGATCATGAGGTAATGCTGTGAAAAACCCTCCCTTCTCCTTGCAGAAGAGCCAGTTCTGCCTAATCCACACAGCATCCTTGCCACTCAGTCCTGTTTTGTGAAGACACTGACGTAGCAATGCTGCCCTAACCTAGCAGTATGGTGGGTGCTTGTGCTCTAAAACAGAGGCTGTCTGCAGCTTTCGGTGAGGGGTTTCATGTGCCAGTAAACTCCAGTCTCAGATAGTAACAGAGAGGATGGGCAAAAGGATTCTGTGGTTTGCTCAAAGAGCTCTTTAGGATGTGCCTTTTGCCTTCTCAAGGTTTTAATTTTTTTTTCAGCTGAAGTTTGAGTGACCACAGTGGCTGTTGCTCTGCTTTCCTCCTCCTCCCCCAAGTGTTCTGTCTGGTGACCAGCAGTGTCTGGTAAAGAGTAGCCAGGGCCCAGCACATTCCAATAAGTTGCTCCTCTCTGGAGTTGACACAGAACCTACCTTGCAAATATTCTGTCACTCTATCAGGGTCCTGTAGTTGTACAGGGATGAACTTCCAAACCACTGGAGCAAAGGATTTCCCCAGAAACTCATCCATTTTCTCCCACTTCCTGTGCCACTCATGACTATCCACCCTTGGGGCAGATCTCTGAATGACCTGCCTAGAAATCTCTCTCCTGACTCTAAACATGGTGTGGACTCCACTGACTCTAAATATGTTATCAGCTGTACTGAGGAGACACACATGAGACATAGCAACCATAGCAACAAGAACATGCTTTCTGTAACATCCAGAGGGAATTCAAAATTCTCGAAAGCTGTTGTAACAGGCCTGAAGGAGGAAGAGGGGGTGACAAGCTGGGGAAAATCATCCTCTAGTGTTTCCCCCTCAGGCTGAGTACTATTATTAATGGACTAACAAAGGTAGTGCTGGAGGTAAGGGTAGGAGAGGAACACTGAATACACATCCCAAGTGACCCTCATTGCCATTGTTATCATTTCATAAACTGATATCACAGAGTACAGCAACAAAACAATCCTGATCCCACTCCGTGCTCTGAAAAATATGATCACAAGGAACACATATATGCTCACACATATGTACCACACCCACATAAACAGACCAAGCAGCACTGTGACCACAAGCAGCATTGTGACCAGTGGTTCTGTGCCTAATATGAACAAATGCTTAGAATCAAATTAGTTTCCAACCCACTCTGGGCAGATGTGTTGTTGTCTCAACCCTTTGTGCCCATACTGGGCACCAATTAAGGTTGTCTTAGGAATGGTATTTTCCAATTTAGTGCTCCTCCTAAGAGCATGAACAATTTACTAAACAGTAACAGCAATAATACTAATGAGAGAAGGAACAAGAAAACAAAGAACAATTCACATAGAAACACCCCTGCTCCCTGACAATAGACAAACTGCATAGCTCCCTCTGCCACGTTATTTCAGCTGGTAAGAATCCCTTCTGTCTGGAAGAAAGTCCCTTTCTCCTGCCCTCAGCAATGATGAGAGGTGGTGTAGAATAATCTCCGTGTTCTGGCCATGCCTCCTCCCAACTACTCTAAAAACTGACCCTGTCTTGGCCAGAATCATGACACAATGGCTCACAGTAACCTGTCATTCTGCGTTAGCACGTCAACCCCATGTGCTGCAGATTTCCTGCATGCTATCTGAGCACTTAGCCAGAGAGTATCCTTGCAGCACACTGATTTTTCCTTTCCCAGGTGCTTCACAGTCGTGTCAATGCAGCGTTGAGCAAGATGGGAAGTGAATGGTAGGATATGTGATTACAGCACTTGAAATTTAATAATAAAAAAATTTCATTTGCGGGTAACCATGTGTAAAATGAGTGTCAACAGCTTTCCCAAATAAAGCATTGGGATAGACATTTGACTGCTTTTTGGTTGCCTCACTGGGCTCTGCTTCCCATCCCTTGAACTGGGAAGCGGTTGAAAACTCCAGGTGGACACAGACACTGCTGAAGTACCACCTTGATGTAGTGAAGCTACGTGTGGCCCTTAGGTAGAGAAATGGTTTTTTTGCCTTTTTACAAACAGGTACCCATGGGGAGCCCTCTCTCTAGCCTCAGCCTTCAGAGACCTCTCTGTTGATTTTCCTCATCTCCTCCTTGCAGTTCTTCACAGAGTATGGTCCTGATTACGTGCTGGAGATCACACCAAGCTGCAGACCAGACCGCAATGAGCCACAGAGAATTCAAGAAATTCTGAACTCTATCAAAGGTACGTTGTCCAAGCAAAAACTTCTGCTTCAGGCTTACAGGATTTGTTAGAGAGGGCTTCAGAAGAGCTCATTGGAGTCTTTCTCACTGACTGGAAAGATGAACCACATTCACTTGGCTGCTCCTTAGTACACAGTGTCATTTGCCTCCCACATCCCTTGGGATTTTCAGGGTTGGTGGTACAGAGTTACGGGTTCCTGTAGCAAAAGTTGCCATTGCCTTTGCTCTGGCTGGACAGGGAGCATTGGACCTTGTCCTTTTTGGAATCATAGAACAGCCCAGGTTCTAAGGGACTTCAAAGATCATCTGGTCCAAACTTTTCATGGGAAAGGGAGCATAGACAAGATCTATGCTAGATCTTATCTAGCAAGTCACATCCTGAAAACTTCTGACAGTGAGGCTGCTACCCCATCCCTGGGGAGTTTCCTCCAGTGATTGATTGTTCTCACTGTAAAAAAAAAGTACTTAAAACAAGGTGAAACCTCTCCTGGTGCAACTCACACCTGTTGTCCCTTGTCCTCTCCATGTGGCTCCTTGTGAAGAGAGAGCCTCTGTCCTCTGAAGCCTACAGAGCAGGCTTCAAGTACTAGATTACTCCCTCCTAAGCCTTCTCTTCTGCAGGGAGAGAGTGGCAGGTTCTCCAGAATCTGATCACCTTTGTGATCCTCCTTTGTCTGTCCATGTCTTTTGTGATTTGTGGGGATCATAACTGGACACATTACTCATCATTTGTCAGACAGACCTGGCATGAGATGATCCACTTTTTCTTAGTAATGCTCCTGCACATGCTGCACAGGATCCAGTTTGCTTCACTGCTGCAGCAGCACACTGCTGGATCCCATTCAGCTTGCTGCCTATCAGGAACCCCACATCCATTTCCACAAAGCTGCTTCCCAGTCACACAAATCCCAGCCTGAACTGGCTACCTCAAGTGGAGGACCTTGCTTATGTCTTTGTTAAACTTAAAACTGTTATTTTTAGCCCAGTCTTCCAGCCTGTCCAGCTTTCTAAAATAGCTCTTCCTTCTGACCTGTTCACCTCAGCACCCAGTTTGGTGCTGTGGTTGTTTCCAGCCAAGGTAATTTACGATGTTGAGCAATATGTATCGGTATCAGTCCTTGGGGGACCCCACTTGTTACAGGCTGCAAGACCATGTAAAAACCTTTGATCACCACGCCCTGTGAGCTCCCTGTGAGCCAGCTCCCTGCCTGTCCCCTTTGCAGACCACCCATCCAGTCTGTGTCTTTCAGTTGGACCAGGAGGAGGCTGTGGGAAATAGCTCTCTGGAACTGCGACAGGTCTCCAGCAGGCAGGACTTGAAACTCTTCAAGTCCAGGACAGGCAGCTGGGTGAGCTCTGCCAGCTCCAGCATTGAAACTCATTCAGTGCCCTTACCCACCTGTCTTGTCCCTCTCTGCAAGAGGAGCTCAGAACAGCATGACGGGGCTTGGCAGCCCTTTTCTGTCTGTGTTGTAGTATGCTGGTGTTAGAAGTAGGGTAGGAAGTACAATGGCCATGGATGCCTTCGTGTGTCCCTTCCCAAGCACAGCCAATCCTAGGGAGAGGGCATCCTTTCCTTGGGGACATGTCCAAGAGGGTAGGAGGAGCAGCATCACTCCAGAGCTGGAACGAGGGCTGTGCACTCCTGTCTGTGAATCCAGCCTGAAAGAAGGACTAGGTAGCAGGGAGTGAGCGTGTGTGTCTCTGATGCTGGTCCACGAACCCCGAAACAGCATTCAGCATACTGAAAGCATTGGCAGGGTCCCTTTGTGGTAATTTCCAAAGCCTGGCTCCAATGAGGGCAGCAGCCTCTGCAAAGGGAGCGAGGGGTCAGCAGGAGCTGAGATCTGTGCTGAGGCAGGAATTCCCATGTCCTGGTCTAGTCCATCAGGCGTGGGAGTGGCACCCCTTGCCAGGTCACTCCATCAGGCTAAAATATCAGTGGAAATACCCTTTTTTGCTTCCTTTTATTTGCAGGGAATCTGAAGCACGTTGTTTAGCAGAAAAGGAAGGCTCAGGCAAGAGCATTTCCTGTGGGGAAGACAGCATATTTATGTGAACATCTGGTGAAATTTGTGACTGCAGGGAAACTTTCGAAGAAAGTACTGTTGGTTGGTTAATTTTTTTTTTCCTCTTTAAAGAAGAAAAGCTACCGTATGCTACAAGCACTGTGGCTCCCCCAGGCAGGAGTGTGGGCCCTCCAGCCGTAGCCTTCCAGTGCTGGCAGAGCCTCCCTTGCTCCTTTCCCCTTCCTATTTTAACACCACAGTTTGTTCTCACAACTGCTTTTAAATGTATTTTAAGAGAGGAGCTGCTCAGAGCTGTGAGCCCTCCCCAGCTGGAGCCCAGTGCTGTGTTAGCTACCCAGCAGGGCCACAGCCTCAGAGCTGCCCACTCGGGAAGTAGAGCCTGTGGGCTACCCTGGTTCTCTCTTACCCACAGAAAGGCACAGCCATTGTGTTTTTAACTGGGAATTTTTAAAAAATAAAATACTTGAAGTACTCCTCCAGCCCTTTCCTTTCTTCTTCCACCCACCCTGTCTTGCTAGTGCTCTTTTCCACAGTACACCCCACCCCCTCCACCTACTGCAGAGCCATTTGTGAGCTCCTGAAGTCCTGCACAGAGGAACAAGACCCTGGAGAGCTTCTCAAGAACGTCAAGGGCGATACAGGTCACTGTGGTAGCTCCTCTTCTGGGAGATCTTGGATGAACTTCCAGATGCTCTGGTGCCCCATGAGAGCTGCCACGAGGTGTCTCAGCAAGGGAACAGGTACAGAGGTATCTGGAGCAGCACTCTCCCAGTGCCAGGAGCCATGGAGCCTGGCCTCTGCCACCCTTGTCCCCTCATTCTCCTAGCCCATAGACCTTTTATTGTGGTGATTTTTTTTAAAGATGCCCAGTCACTGTAGGAAAGCATATTTCCTGTGGCTTTAATTAGATTATGCTGGAAGAAACAGCAAGACAAAGGGGTTCCCTGCCTGGCCTTGGCTTTGTTTTTTGCTCTGTTTTCACTGTTGATTGAAACAACAGGAAATCTGGTATGGAGACAGGTCAGCAGGATGTGGCTCCCATGACTCCTGACCTCTTGCCTGCTTCCATGTACCCCTGGCACCTGGTGTGGTGTGCTGAGACCAGTCTTGTAAGGTGACCACTGGCAGGAGGCTGGTGCTGCCATTGCCCTAGCAAAGGATCCCAGTGCCCTGGGGAGATGTCAGGCTTCAGGACTGCCCATCCAGGGAAAAAGGTGAGGAAAGAGAGAACAGAGAAGCTGGCCAACTGCTGCCTCTGACCCACCTCAGGGCCCATGTGCTCTGTCCCCACAGCAGGTAGACTGCCCTTGTGAGAGCTGTGGGAGCTGTTTCAGGAACACAGTTGGGAAAATAAACAATAGGAAACCCCACAAGTGTCAGAGGTTGTGGCTTTTAGGTGAGGTGCCTCTTGGGTAGAAGCCCCCACATGCCCCATCCAGAGTGGGATGCCCACACAAGGGGCGGGGGTAAGCCGGAGCGCCGTTCCAGTCCCTCCCTGTCTGGGTACGTCGCTGGACCCGACCCGCCCGGGGCAGCCCGCGCCCCTCTGAGCGCTGCAGTGACCTGGTAGATGCCGGAGATGAGCTGTTCACCGTCCCGTCCCCGGGGCACGAAGGACCTCTCGTGGTGGCAATCCTGCCCTGCTGCCTTTCGGGGCCGAGGAGATACCGGCGGCAGGGACTCCGCCTGCTCCCCGCCCCTGTGGCCCCTCACGGCGGGTCCCAACGGCCTTGTGCCCCATCTTGTGCTCAAGATGAACCACAAGTTCTACGTCCAGAACTGCGCCCCGGGGAGACCCTGGAGCCCGACGGAGCCCGGCTCGCCGCTCGCCTGGGGTTTGGGGACGCGGGCGCGGGGCGCGGGGAGCCGTCCCCTCCAGGCCGCTGGCCCCGGCCTCATCGACTCGGACCCGGTGGACAAAGGTTCTCAGGTCGCTGGTGGTGGAGCTTGGCCTCAACAGGGCGGACGAGCTGCCGGAGCTCTGGCTCGGTCACCACGAGCTCGACTGGCGGCCGGAGCGCGGCTGGGCCGGGGCCTCGTACCGCTCCAGCAGCGAGCAGCGTCCCGGCTGCCCCCGGCCCGGCGCTGCGGCAGCGGGAGCGCGCGGGAGCCGGCCGTGAGGGAAGGGCCGGGAGCAGGAGCGGGGCCGCGCTGCCGCCCCAAAACGCGCCTGGGCCCGACAGGCGAGGGTCTCAGGCTGCCGGGTAATAAAATCCGGAAGGATCGGCTGTGCCCTTTGTCCATTTCGGCGAAGGACATTGTGTGAAGCAGCCCTTGATGGAAGGAAGGTGGGCTCCCCACAGCTCCAGTGTGTCTTCTCGGCTTATGATGTTCCCATCCTGTTGTTGAAAATTACACAACTTTCCTAGTAACTTCTCTAGTTAAAATTTCTAATTAATTGTTTTAATCAATCATGAACAGTGTAATTTTCCACCATAGCCAAGCACTTAGCAAGGTTTGTTATAAACTGCTATTGTGGGAACACAGGTCAGGAAAATTACCAAAACTTTTTAAGTTTTGCGAAACCAACCTTGGACTAAGCATGGAAGAGACATAGTGCTGAAACTAGACCCACGGAATGCAGAATTTATAGTCTGCAAGAACATTTTGCAGAACCCAGAGAGAGAAACAACCAAAGACAATTCAGCAATTGTCTTATCTGGGGAAAAGATAAGAAGATAATAAGATAGATACATATTATAATATTGGCTTTTCACAAATATTAAAACGGATTTATATATGTGATGTTAAAGTAACTTTGTTATAAAGATAATGTTTTTATTTCTGTTAATTAAGCTTAGATATAGTAGTGAAATAGCTATGCTTGTGTTAAAATGCCTGCTTGGATGGGACAACATCCAATCAACATAGGATGAGGACACCTGTACAGATATTCCAACTATCAGCACTCATTGTCTGAAGGCAGTGTGGACCAAGGCCCAAAAACTGGAGATTATAAGAATGGACTAAAACCACAACCAAGGAATCTTCATGCTCTAAAATGGCGGACACAAGGAGGAGCCATGCTAAACAATTCTTGGAACATGTAAACTGGTTTGGGGGAAAAGTTTACCATGCATAAGTGTCTATGAATGTGCAACAGGCTGATGTAATGGAAAAGGTATTTAAGGGGTATCCCCGAAGATAACAGTGTGGTCTCTGAGTGCAAGATGCACCCGACCTTTCCTCTGTGGTCCTTGTCTCTTATTGTCCTTTATTAAACTTTTAAAATTTTTACAGGAGAGTGAACAGATTTTTCACAGATCATAACAAGACTGTAAATGTAGGCTAATGAGCACGAGAAGCAAGAAATCTATAACCAGTAGAACATAAAATACTAATTAATGAAGAGAGCTATGTATTTTATAGCCAATTAACATTAATTACTTTGCTAAAGTGTATAAATAATGAAAAGTTTTAGAAGTGTGCATGTATCATAGGTGAAGCTCCCCCTGTGCGCCCAGCACTGTGAATAAAGTAATGCTGCTCTCTAATTTAAACGTAGAGTTTCATTTATCCCGACGTTTTCAGAACAGTCACCCCCGGGAATGGGACCTCTGTCCCAGCCATGCCCTGCTGCAGGAGCGATGCTGTGGAGACGTGCTGGGTGTGGGGCTGCTGCACTGCCTGAGCTGTCTGGCAGGATGCGGGAGCCTGGCACTGGGCCGGGGACTCCGGGGCACTGTGGGGACACGTCTGCCCTGGGCAGGGCAGCTGGGACCACTTGACCCCCGGACTGCTTCAGGAGTGGGCGCTAAGGCCCGGCATCCAGTCTGGGGGCTGCGTGGGGTCCCAGCTGTACCCCGGGAGGAGCCGTGGCAGGGGGAGGACACAGGTATGGGAGGGCAGGTGTGGGCAGGGAGCGGTCCCGGCACAGGTGTTTCCCCTGTTGGCTCTCCCAAACCGCAGGGCCAGAACTTAGCGGGCTGTCCCATGCCACCAGCGATGACCACAGTGCCGGGCTAGGAGCAGGGAGTTCCGGAGAGCGGTGTCCTGGAGCGGGGTGTCCCCGTCGGGGTCGCCGGGAAGGGACGAGCCCTCCCGATCTGTCACCTGGCGAGCGGCCCCGGACCTCCGAGCCGCCAGAGGGCGACGCATGTCGCGGCCGCCATGCTTTGTACTTCCGCGGCGGGCCGGAAGCACCCGCCCTTTCTCGGCAGAGCGCAGCCATGGTGAGAGCGCGGTGGCGCGGCTCCCCGCCGCCATCCGCCGCCATCCCCCACTCGCCGCGGGCTGTGGCCACCCCCCCTGGGCGATAAGCGCGGGAGGGAGCCCGGCGCTTGGGTTCGGGGGACGGGAGTCGGAGGGAGCCGGGGAGGGATGGCTGGGGGGCCGGGCCTGGCGGGGGCCCGTAACACACCCCTTAAAACGTCCCATCCTGTAGGCCCGCGGCCCCAAGAAGCATCTGAAGCGCGTGGCTGCACCCAAGCACTGGATGCTGGACAAGCTGACGGGCGTCTTCGTGAGTGCGGGCCTGGTTTGGGGTTAAAGCTGGGGTCTGGTGTGGTTTTGGGGTTGAGACTGGAGTCGGAGGTGGGGCCCGGAGTCGTGGCAGCCGCAGTCACATCAGAGGAAGTGATCGGGTGCTGCGCGGGTGTGAGCGGTGAGCAGGGGCAGTTGGACACGGCAGGAGGTGCTTGCTTAACGCTAGGGTCTTTGTGAATAGCGTTCACGTTCCCCCGTTTGCAGAGGATGTGATGGCGTCGTTGGATGTTCTCTTTTAACCTGCCGGTTGTGCTTTTCCACCTCCGGGTTGAGATGGATGGTTGTGCTCTGCTGGGAGCTGTGCCCTGTGAGGCAAGACATGGGGGGAACTACTGTGAATACCAAAAACAGAGAGCTTCAGCCCGTCGCTGCCTGCGTGGCAGCTGCACTTTGTGCTGCTGCCCTTCCGTGCTCTTGCGGGAGTTCTTGGCGCTATGGTTTCCTTCTCTGGGGTGGCTGATGCTTCTTGAGCCTCCAGCAGAAACTTTCTGTCGGCAGGCACCCCGTCCATCAACGGGCCCACACAAGCTGAGGGAGTGCCTTCCCCTTATCATCTTCCTGCGCAACCGGCTGAAGTATGCTCTGACAGGAGATGAGGTCAAGAAGATCTGCATGCAGAGGTTCATCAAAATAGATGGCAAGGTCCGCACCGACATCACCTACCCTGCAGGCTTCATGGGTGAGTAGGGTTGGGGCAATTCCTTAGGCAGCTCTTCTACACTGGCAGGGGAGTTTTTGTGGGGCTGGCATTATTTGAGGGATAAAGTTTCCCTGCTGGAGTTGAAGAAAATATATGTATAAGCAGTTGTTGCTTAGTTTGAAATTGTGCACTGCAGTGAGTACCATAGTCATATACCTGTAGCCTCTAAGTGCCTGCTTGACCTGAGTACGTTGCTGTTCAGATTCCAGCCTTCAGCAGTTTTTGCTAATTTGCAGTCTGTTGCTGCAAAAGATGTGAGCCTGTGCTCAAGGGTAAATCCCAACCTC